CTAAGACAACCATTTTTCTCCTCCAGAATTTTCCTTGCCAGCTGTCACCAGCTGGCAATTTTCATTTGGATTTATTTTGATGTATTTCCATCCTGGTGCAGAGATTATGACAAAATATTCTTTTATATCCTTTTACTGCAGAAAAAAAGTTATCTTCTTGCCAAGTCAGACACACATTTATGGCAGAAACAGTCACACCTACCTTCTCTCAGCAACTTTCAGTCCATCATGTGAGCTGTAGCCAGTAACCCACACAGGGTAAACACCTCCTTTGTATTGTCAAATTTCATATACAACAATCTTCAGCTGGAAAGTCTTAATTTAGCATTTCGAGATAGGATCTGAAATACAAGTTTCCCATGGATATCTACCCAAGCAGTAGCTCAGTCCTGTTTGGTGTCCTTTCTAATAACAAGTGGGTCTTTGGATCACCTAGGCTGGACCTGAGAAAAAAGTAGGGTAGCATTTTTGGTGGATGGATAGATGGATGGATGGGTAAGAAAAACATTCTAGGGGTGTGCTAACTGCTTAAAGATACTTAGGTCATGACATAAAGACATCTGTTTCATCTATTGGTCTAGAAGAATGGGGATTATGGGAATGCTTCCTATCCTAGTCTTGTTCTTTTCTGTCAATATCTGTGCTCCCTGGGTCTGTAGAAGCACCATGTCAAAATGGGGTATTTCCCCCATGTTCATGTCACTACTTTGCCAATGGTGACTAATGACAGATGTTTCTTCACAGGGCAAAATAATTTCTAAATGAACTGGTCAGTGGAAAGTCAGAAAGGCTTTGAAGAATTCAAGCCTTGTGACTGCTCTTGCCTTGTGACTGCTCTTGCTACACAAAGCTCTTTAAATATTTATAACTTGAATATTGCAAAGCAAATAGAAGGAAGGTGGGGATGGGTTGTACGAGTTTACATGATTTCTTATCTCTTAAAAATTACTGTAGCCCTTCTAGCAAGGGGAAGAATTCGGTATACCTCACATTTCAAGCTCAAGCCTTTTGTTTGTTGAGTCATTGTGTCTCAGTCAAAAATTTTCTCCCCACAGCTTCCCAAAAGTAAAGATTGCCCTTGAACTCCAAACCCTGCTAAGAAAACATGGGGCAGATGTCAGCATTTTAGAAGTTATTCACCCCCTGCCAAAGCATACACATGGCTTGGACAGTAGAGCTGTAGCAGTGAAATCCAGTGAGGTCAACAAATAAAGGCAACACAAAGTCAGTGTATTTTACTAAGTCGTCTGACACAGGTACAGGTGAAAGATCAATAGAAGTTGGCCAGGTTCAGCTCTCTCCTGTGGGAAACATTTGAACAAATCTTGTTAGTCTGGGTTGCTTAAGATCCTCCTCGGTGTGTTCATGTTGGTGAGATGGAACTGGATATGTGGCAGAACAGGCATGGGCTTAAATTGTAGGCAGACCAACGTTTTAAATAAAATGTTCCTGGAAGAACTTTTCAGTCTTTTTCTCTGTAGCAAGTTCTTAATCCTGCCCCATCCATCCCTGTTGTAATTTCCATGCAATGCTTCCTTAGGCATCTCTCTAGCTGGCCTCCAAAGTGTGATGTTTCTTTGTCCAACACAGTTATGGGAGAGAAGGACAAGCCCTGCAGGTGAGAAAATCTCTGCCAAAACTTTTTTTTGGGGGCCGAAAGGACCCTAAGGAAAAAGGATGAAGAAAAGCAGCTGGAAAAAGCATGGCTGCTCTTAAAAGAAAAGATCAAGGAGACATGAAGTGTTGGCCATGGATTTGTCATCTGCTGAGTTCTCTTTTTCTCAGCTGTCAGGCAAGTTTCCTATGGGCAGATTTCTTTAAACTCAGTATCTTTTCCTCAAGGTGTTAGATCTCTTTCTCCCTCCCTCATGTAACATCCTTATGATTCTCGCACGGCGTGGACCTACTTGTGTCTGTTTTACTCCAGTTCTTGTGCTGCCTCTCCTCTTACAAGCCTGTTTCAGTGACTGATAAGAAGCAAACTAATCAGGAATTTTCCTCCTCTCCCTTACCTTCTGACAGTTCAATATATTGCTGAGGACTGGGCACGAAGATAAGAAATAAAAGGATATTTAGCAATTAGGCTTTTATTGTGCTGAAGGATCGCCCACTCTCTGGATGCAGGAATCACTTTGCAGAGTGGAGAACTGCTGCTGGGTGGAATGTGTCAGCTGCTTACCAGGTCATGGGCACGTTACAGAGCTGTTGGAGAAACACGCTGAGGCAGTGGCACGAACGCAACCACATGCTTAGCGTTAAGCCAGTGAGAAATTCCACTGAAGTCAAGGGGGTTTTTGCATGTGCTTAAGGGCTTTGCTGGACTGGGGCTTACGAAGGAAGAATGGACTATGGGTTCATCAGATGGGATTGGACCAAGAATCTTGCACCCCTTCTCTTGCCAAATCCTGAAGGATGCCTCTGATTCATAAGTGATAGGAGTGAATTGGGTCATTGAAAAGAAGGGAATTCAGCTGACCAGCTGGGCATAAGCTTCCTGGTTGGAGGTTGCTGTGAAAAAAGTGGCTTTCTCTCATAGCCACTTAGTCCTTGCTGTAGGTTTTGTGTGTGTGTGTTTGTAGTTTTTTTCGGTCTAACTATCCAAAGTCAGGTAACTCATATGGTGGAACAGCATCTCTGCTCACGGATTTTTGGCTGTCATTATGGATGAAAACACATAAAATAGTGATTAAGAACAATGTTTGCAGAGTCAGCAGCTGAGGTCCCTGACTTGCTACAGTTGCAGAGAAACAACATTGCAGCGGGCAAAAGATTAACCACAGAGACTGTTGAAAAGAAAAGAAAAAAAGAGGTTGGATTTGTCAGATCAAAGAAAATAAACTTGATGATACTTAGAGATTAAATTGTCTCAGAATGATATATGTAGCCATAAAAGCCTATAGGAATAAACTACGGCTCAGCTGCTGAGGAACTGTCAGCAGCCTAAGGACATTTTGTGGCCTTGACAGAGTAAGACAGGAGGCTAAGAGAAGAGGGGGCATTCGTAGTCTCAGATCCAGGACTGAGTCACTCTGTGGCTACAGACACACCACTTGTGCTTCCCATTCTCCTCTCCCAGCCAAACTGATAAAATATAGAAATGAGAAAACTGATTCCAACAGGAAAAGTGCTTCATGCTCCCTACTCCTTTTGGGTCTGAGTCATCATGTGACATATCTCTATTTCAGTGACACTGCTGTGCATAGGGAAAAGGCTCATTAGTTGTTTTCTGGGTGTTTTGCAAAACTTTTCTTAATTCCCTGTAAGGCAAACCTTGTTTTCCCTTCCAGAGTTCAGTTAGAGAGAGAGAGATTAATCCCAACAGCAAGATTTCAGCCAATATCCCAAACCAGAAGGAAGGTCTAAGGTCAAAGCTAACAAATTATATTGGAAGAAATAAGTTCACTGTCAGTGTGTTCTTTCATGAGCAGATTATGGAAGTTTGTAAACTCTGTCATTGCAGAGGTAGTGAAATACTGCTAGTTTGCTATAGGCAGTGTCTAATTCCCACCCCTTCCATTCTCTTGTGAAATGAAAAATATAATCACCAAGGTTTCAAATAACCGATGAAGAAACAGTCTTCCTTTTCCAGCAGTTTTGAACAAAAGAAGAAGGGCAAAATGTTGGCACTGTGAGCAGAAACACAGACCTGTGTAAACTCAGTTTTTGGGGATGGAAGTCAGACATGAAGATGGAACTAGCAGAAGTTCAGAAAACCATTTAACCGCTGGTACTAGCCATTTGTGTGGGACTGACTTTTGTCCTTTGGGAAAACTGTGGTGCTTAAAGAGACAGAGCTTTGAATGCTGCAGTTTTGTTCATTTTCAGGAAGCTTTGACAAAACCAGCAAATTCAGGTGATGGGAGGGATGGATAGACTTAGATATGAAGAACGGGGATCCAGTGCATGATTCAGCCAGGAACCTCACTGGAGCTCAGGAAAGTCAATTAGCCATGGGATTTGCTGTCTACAAACCAAGTGCCTAACCTAAGCCAGTAGTGTGGACTCCTTATAGAATTGTAGGATAGGTGAGGTTGAAATAGACCTCTGAGGTTCAAGCTAATGAGAGAGACAGGTATCTCCAAAACCTGCCCTCACCACTGCTGCTACAGCTAGGCATTTCCCTTGGGGAAATACCACCATCTTTTCATTAAATTAACCTCTCTGTACTGTTATAATGTTTTCAGTGCAAAGATAGTCTGTCACTTGATCTGCTTAGTGCATAACTCATTTAGACCCTGGGTGTTTGGTGACATTTTGCCATCGCTCCCCTAAAATCTACTAGAGACAAGTGCTAGATTTGCCTGGCTGGACTGTCTTGTAGGTCAATGCATCGCTAGCCTAGTGGTTTGGAAAAGAGAAGATGCTGTCTCCCAGGAGTGTTGTAGCACAGTGTACAGCAATGCAAATGGCCCGAGCATCCCAATGAATAAATTTTTGCAGTGTAGATTGCAAGGAAAGCAGTCAAGTCTTCATCTGGATAGTGAACAGGAGCTAGCTCCAGGAACTCTGAACTTGGTTTATTGTTTTTCTGCATCTAATTCATGCAGATGAGTGCTCAACAGCTCACTGCAGCACTGAGAGCTCTGCAGTCTGTGTTGGTAGGGCCTCCTACCGTGCAGACTCAGCTGTTCATGCAGTGGATGAGAGAGATGGATATTTGCTTAGAGGCACATACCTATACGTAGCAAAGGGACACAGTCTCCTTTCATTCAGTAAAAGCATTGTGGAAAAGTCTTTCAGGAAAGGCTTCTGTTGCCTTTACCTTATTACTACCTGGTTAACTGCACGCTGCTCGTCCCAAAGACTTCCTTCTTCTTTGGCTGGAGGAAGTGCTTCTGACCCCTTGGGTTAACCTGCTCTATGAGGTCAAGACTGTTTAAACACCCACCATGTTTCACCAACATGAGATGGTATCCAGCAGGGAGGAGAGGGTTGCTATTGAAAATGTTTGTGGAATCTCTTGGAAGTGAGTGTGTTGTGGGAGCTCAGTTCATTATCCTGGCTGGAAGGAGAAAGGAAAGGCAGAGGAACATACATCCCTGCCTCATGGTCAACTCTGCAATAAGTGCAGAGGGCATAAAGCAATCTTGGACATCGCTGGATTTACCTAGTAAGCTCTGTGCTGTGGGATCTCAGATACCTATTAGATCTTATTCTGGAAATATCTCCTTCCTGAATGCCTTGTATCCTGCCTAGATTTTTCTAGATTTAGCCTTTGATACGTGTGAGAGCATGGACAATTGGAAATGACTCAGATGCAGAGCTGTAGAAAGCCATTGCCTCTCTCTTTCACACAATAATCCCCTGAAGCTTCACATTAGAGAAAATCCATGTGATTTCTTACGATGTGGTGTCACATGAAAAGACATCTCCCCCAGTGCTGTTTTGGAAATACAATAGTTGTTTTTGTTTTATCTACTGTGCCATCAGCCCCCCCAGCTGGGGACTCAAACGTACATTAATTCTGCTTATGACTGCCAGGAGAATTTATTATGGCCAACAGCAAGAAGCATGTAGGAATCTGCGAGGTGTGTGTATTTCTGCAGAAAAAGAGCCTTGGTCCCTGTTTGCTGTCAGCTTTCATTACTGCAGGAGAAACTTCTTGCTGGAAAGCGGATCATGTAGTAGGCAAACATTGCACAAGAGGGAGAGAGATGCCAGGACTGGCTCAAAGACTGTTGTAATGGGAGAGGAGGGAAAAGAGAAATCCAGAAGCTGAAATGCAAGAGGAGAGATGAGATACAAGGTAGTCCTCAGGAGCTTGAAGTGTTAGGCTGACAAGACGATTAGCTCCTTGAATGAGGGCTAAGTAATTTTTTCCCCCCTCCCCCTGCTGAGAGAAGCTCTTTTGTGTTGATTGGCACAAGTTTTGGGAGGATTAAATAAACCCAATAAATGGAGACTGCCTTTCCACCTTTGCTGGAGGCAGCTGTCTTTCAGCAATCAAACCAGCGCATTGCTGTGGAGGCTAATCATATCAATGCCTGATTGCATCCCAACAGCAGGAATCTTGCGACGCATCTCCAGCAGCGGTTGTCCCCTTGGAGGCACTTTGTCTGTATTGGGACAGTTTAGGTTAAAAGGCACTTCAGGAGGACTCTAATCCAAACTACTGCTCAAAACAGGGCTCACTTCAAAGTTAGGTCAAGTTGCTCAGGGCCTTATTCTGTTCAATCTTATGTTTTCTTCTTCAGGTGGGCAGGATAACACTGAAACTTTACAAGCTGCTGGGAGAGGCTGGATATGTGTAAGTCTAGGATTCCCTAAGAGCAGGCCAGAGGGTTTGTCTGGCAGAGGTTGGCAGCATTGGCTCTGTCTCAGTTGCAGACCAGGAGTGGGTGATTTCTCAGAGGCAGTAATTTCAAGGAGGGCTGTTGTCTTGTTCACCCTGGTTCCTAAAGCAACAAGACTACACTGTGTGGCTTTGTCTTTCTTCCCCCATAACACTGAATCCTCAAGGCTGGAGAAGACCTCTAATATCATTAAGTCCAACCATTAATACAGCACCGCCATGTTTACCAGTAAACCATGTACCCAAGCACCACATCTACACATCTTTTAAATACCTCCAGGGATGATGACTCCACCACCTCTCTGGGCAGCCTGTTTCAATGCTTGACCATCTCATGTGTATTGAATCGTATTATGAGATGAAAAATTGGCTGAAAAGGGAAACTCTTTCACTTCCTATTTCTGGAGAAAGCTCAGTCTTTTCTAATACCAGCTAATTGGGATGGGTGATGACTCATGAGGCACAAAGCCATAGGAACCCCGGGATTCAGCAGTCATCGTGTCTGCCAAATGACCTGCTTAGCTACGCATTACCTGCTGGCTAAGCTAGCCTGACTCCATCCAGTGGTGCCAAGGATAGGACGCTTGCTGACACCTGAAAAGCCACAGAGTTGTGTTTGGTTTTGTCTGATCAGAACTGGCACAAGGTAGATAATTGTGATCAAGTCCAAGAGCACTGTATCAGACCTAACCCTTTCTCATCCATCATGTATGTAACACCTCTCCTTCTGAAACTCTAGCCATTGCTCTCACTGCTGCTGACATGATTTCAGACATTCAATGCCTTATAGTAGATGCAAACAATCAAACACAGTTTGATGAGTCTTGTAGAATGATTTCCGCATCATCCAATGTGAAATCCATGGAGTTGCAGAAGGTGCGGTTTCCCTCTGTTTCCTAGAGATTATTTTCAGTCAACTCCTTTTCAGAGGAAGGAGTTAGTGGGAACTCCTGGGTTCAGGCACCCACATTGCTCTGTGGATCAGGCCTGTACTGGAAGGTTACTTTCAGTCTCCCAGTAGTCAGCCCTGGAGCTACAGCTCACACTCCCACAGTGCTGGCTCCTTTTCTCACTTGGTAACTGTCTTGCATCTTTGCAGTTTCTCCTGCAGACATGGTTTCAGTCTCCTCTTTGTCCTGACTTGCTGCTGTGGAATGTAAGGCTTTTATTATTTTTCTCACTCTGTAAAACAAAAATATGAACCTAAGAACATCATGTCAAGACTTCAAGCTTGCATTTTCTGTCTGGGTTCTTCATAGAAAATAAGAGCATCACCTTGTTTTTCCTTTTCTTTTTAACTTCCCTTTGTCCTCCTGCTCTCAAGAGAAGATTTATGTCCTGTTGTGAAAGCACTGCACCTAACACAGCCAGCTCTCACAGTTTCACTTGCTGTGCAATTCCAGTATGATCTTGCTTCAATGCATACTTGATTCAAGAACAGTGGGGTGTGTTCAGATGGATCAAACATGAGCCAAACTCTTATTTTATTGCAGTTTATTTCTTTAGGAAGAGCCAGGGTTGAACCAGGAGTTCATTGAGTTTTAAGCGAACACATATTCTCTCTCAGCAGGAGCAGGCTATCGGCGTATATGGTTATTTACAGCAGCTCAGCTGAGGGAGAGTAACCCATAAATAGTAACTTCTTGTGTTCACGCACAGGCACATATTCTTAGAGAAGGCAGAAACCTCACGTTCCTGCCCATTCGTTAACATTCAGCTACAGGATTTTTGAAGGAAAATGTCTCCCTAGGTAGGATATCCTATAACTCCTGACCACAGGGGTTTCCTGCAGCTTCACCTCCAGCATCTGGTGTTGTCTGTTTATGGAGACAGGCAGATGGGGTAGATGGACCCCTGATCTTATTTGGGAGGACAGCAATTCCCATGAGCCAAATGCAACACTGGAGAAATGTCAGATGCATTCCAGATGGATATCCCTGGAGAACAGTGCCTTAATTCATAGACCAGGCAAAGAAACTTTAAAAGGAAATGGCTTTCTTCCATTGCAGTGGGGAGCCTTGAGAAAGGAAGGGTAGATCACCTTCCTAGGCCCAGATCACAGGCTTGGTCTCACAGCTTTGGTGATGGAGTTGTCTGTAGTCTGAACTGGGTAATCTCTTCCATCTCTTCCCTGATACGTTTCATAGGGATGCCTACAAACAGTCCTTACAGGTGTCCTTTTTCCATTACTGCTTAACTCAGAGAAATGACTTAACATCCTCCGCTATGAATGAAATCTCTCCCCAGTGAGCTCTGCCAGTCCTGCATTTTCAGATCAATGATACAGCCAATTTTTGTGGTACAGTATACTAAGGCCAAATATATAGGCAAAGTTCTCTTTTTTGCAGGATGCCACATCTTTCCCTTACTTACAGTGACAGTACTTCATCTTCTGTGGAATGTACTTCTCATCTGTGGGAGTTTTTTTGCTGCCATCTCTCTATCTAGCCGATATATTTGTTTCACATATCTTTGAGATATTCTAGACATCACATCCCCTCTTTCTTTTCTCTAGGCTACATATTTGTATGCTTTATAAACAGAGTAGGCACCTAAGTTTGGTCATCTCACCAGTTCTCTGGTCATGTATTGGCAGTTCATGTTATATTTCCATTAACTACTTGGGACCTTAGTCTCCTGTCTTGCATGTAGACACTACTTAGGGCTCCACATCTGTAAGTAGCATCCAACCCTGAAAATACCCAGACCATCCCCAAGAGCAATCAATGACTTGATAAAGTATTACGATATTTACATAACACTTAAAATCTCTAGTGATCAGAAAGCCCCACTGTGCTAAACCTTGAACATAACTAGGGAAAGAAACTGAACTCTTCATCTCAGCATTTGTTAATCAAACTGGTGGAGCTAGAGAGAAAGAGGTTCAGAGCAGCACTGCCAAATTCTGCTGCTCTGACAGGAACATCACTTACCCAGGGAAAGTAAAGTTGTAAAATATATGATCTATTGCAAAAGTCCACCTCCATCCAGTGACAAATGCAGAAAAACTCCCACATGAATGAACTGCCCCCAGGAATCTTATTGCTATCTTCCAGAGGGTTAAATCATGATCCTAGCAGCTGATGATTGACATCCCTTCTTACAGAGAGGCAAGGCAAAGCATAGGCTCACCTTAACATTGTGCCATTGGTGAAGAACACATTTTGCACTGGCAATATTGATTCAAGCCATGCTCGGTGCTTACAGTGGAAAGGACTGAGATCTCTTAGGAAGCATGTACTTTGGAGACCCTCTTGCTCTGACTAGCCCTGAACACATTTCAGTCCTCTCTCCTGATGGAAACACGTTTTTATGTGTAGCAACAATGAGTTTTCCTTCCCGCAGTGTATTTACAGATACGTGCTGCTTTCTGGCAGGTTGGTTGTGGATGACAGATTGGGAAGGATTTCACATTGCCTGTGTTTTCTCTATGGGGTTAGACAGCATGTGGGTGTGGTGTTAGATTCCCCATCTCTTCACTTAGACCTCGCATTAGAGTATCAGGAGGATCTTTGACAGGTGCTACAAGACGGACCTCTAAAGGGGATTCTGTTTGTGTAGTCGTCAGGTCAAGTGGTGTTATTTAAGCATATGTACCGTGGCGGGTGTTGCAAACAGTTCCTTTAAGTTGTTCACAGCCATGAAACCATTTCAACTGACTTAGTAGAGCTGCAGTCAGGCCATCTGCTCGCTCAAAGCTCTTGACTAGGCTACAAACATTTTAGGCCTTTTTTTAACAGTCTTTCTCCCTAACTTGTCAAGTGCCATGTTACCCTGTTAATGCCCATTTTCAATGCCTTTGTGGAGGTCACATTTCTACCTTGACCAGGTGGCTGCTCCATTCAGAAGACAGAGGGGCAAGAGGTTATCTGTAGCCTTACCCAACCAAACTCTTTGCAGCTGGTCAGGATCTGTAAATGTCAGAGGTAATATGGAGATAACTGGTGATTTAGTAAGCTGAGTCTCTAGAGCTTTGTGTAGCATAATGATGAGTGTGATGTGTGATAAGGTCCCTGGAAAATCCTAAGTCAGGATCCCATTTTATCACATGCAGGTAAGTTCATGATTCAGTTAAATTCACAGGCTAACAAACTGCATGTGTGTGTGTTTGTGTGTGTGTGTGTAGGAGGTGCCCATCTCTTTCTAATCACCTGAAAATATGACAGTTTACTGTTAGGCAAGAAGAAAAACTGAGGAAGTTAAAGATGCCTATCTAACGCCATTTTACCAGGAATTGACTTTCTGCCCATATAAATTCCTAAAAGAACTGACAATTTACCCATATGACTTTGCTCATATAAAGTACAGAGTTTTCTGTGTCTAAATGGACCTTTTCAAATACGTACAGTGGGATCCTTGCAACCACTGAGATTACTAGGGTAAGGTGTGACAGCTTAGAGAAAATGAAGGAAATAAGTACCGTCTAGAGGAAATAGCAAAATCAACAGGAAAAGCCCCTTTTTTTTCCAGCCAGCCCTGATGACAGCCAGGATAATTTCATTAGTCTTAGGAGCATTGCTTTACCCTTTTATTTCCACCAGAAAGCTGAATTCCCCCTGCTCACGTGTGGTTACATTTCTTTACTGAAACTACACTATGCTTGTGGTATTTTACTATTTCTAGTGCTGGGGAGCCAATGCCTCTTTGCTCTGCATGGAGAACGGCTTTAGCTGCCAGGCATTGCCAAGCACATGGCAAAGCCTTCGTCCTATGCCTAAAGACCTCACATACAGCACCTGGTTCACAGGGCAGTCTTGGAAAATGGGGGAATCAGGACAATGGGTGAAAGGGATACCTGCAGCCCAGTCTTTGTCATGGATCAGGAGCTCCTTTCACCACCACAGAAGTAGAGCCTCCCTTGGCATTTAATGGAGTGACTCCTGTGGACCTCTGTTGGCACTCCAGAGGAAGGAGTAATGATATCATCCTGTCTGTTCTCCCAGGGAGCTGGAAAC